GCGTGTGCGTGTGCGTGTGCGTGTGCGTGTGCGTGTGCGTGTGCGTGTGTGCGTGTGTGTGTGTGTGTGTTCGTGTTCATCTGCGTTTGCTCAGAACAGGACGTGTTGATCGTGTGTGTTGTTTTGTAGTAAGCAGGACGATTGGTCTCGGCGTCAGGTGAAGCGTAACACCACTGATCCTCTGTGGATTCACACGGGTCTGATTCTGGCGCAGCTGGACGGACTGCAGGCCGGAGTCACCGACTGGGCCAAACAACACGGGAGGACGGTGAGACGAGGAAGAGCAGCTCATCCTCACATACTTTTCTCACAGTTTTTGTCTGTTTTATTAGGGCTGCATTTCTTTTATTTTCTCGATGTCCTACTTTACAAATTACGACAGAGTTTTAGTGCCACGGTAAAAAAAAAAAACTAAAATATTACGACGTCAATCTCATTAAAGTCAAAATTACACGAATAAAGCCGAAATATTTAGAGAATAAAGTCTAAATATTTAGAGAATAAAGTCAATGTTTCGAGAATAAAGTCGAAATTACGAGAATTAAATTGTAGCAATTAAAGTTATAATATTTTGAGAGGATAAGCCTATATTGCGCATGCAAATGGCCCAGATTGGGAGCACCAGGAGAAGCTGCCAGGTCACCGGAATTGATTTGAATCTATGTTGGATTATCAGCAGAAATCATACCATGTGTTATACTCGCAGGGACAGTATGCTGCTTGGAAATATTATTTCACATCGTCGATTGCATTCGTTATTTGTAGTGCGCCAGCCACCCAATAACAGCAATAAACTTTAAGTGCTTTTGGTACTTTTAATATAAAACAAAGTCTCAGCTTTTAAAATCTGTCAGTTTTATAGCGAAATACAAACAATGTGTCTTCCAAAAACAATGTGTTTTTCAAGCTCTTTAATGTGGCGTGACAGATCGCTGTATTCATATGAATCAATTCATTAAATTATACTGTTTTCTTTTTGAAAATTCCAGCACCTACTCCGCAAAAACATCTGTGCCATCCAACCTTTCATTCCTCTCATGTACTGTATTTAATTAAAAACAATAAAACGTTCAAAGGTTGAATTGGGCTCCAACTTATTGTTGTCTTTTCTGAGGTATATAACATTAAGTGACTATTCACGAGCTGTTTTATTCACGGTATAATACAGTAAATGATTGGAAATATTTCACCGCTTCAAATGCATTCATTATTTGTAACGTGCCAGTAATCGCAATAAGCTTTGTGCTTTGTTGTTATAAGACAGCTCAGCTTCCAAATTCTGTCCGTTTTATCACGAAATACAAATTATGAATGTGTTTTTCCTCTTTATTTCAAGTTATAGCATGATATAAACTTGAAGGAACATCAGAAGGCATGGAAAAAAACAGTATAGCCTAATTTAATGAAACGGATGTCTCATCGTAATCGGAAATATGATTGATTCACATGCCACTTAAACTGAGGCAAATACAACTATAAAACTGACAGAATTTGGAAGGCTTTGGAATCTCTCCCGGTGCTCCCTATCCGGCCCATTTGCATGTGCAATATAGGCTATACTGTCAAAATATGATAACTTTAATCTAGGGTTGCATGATTATGACAAAAATCATAATTGTCGATTATTCCCTTGAAACTGTAATTTTACAATTATCACAATTTACATTGAATGATGTTTATACCATTGTTTTATGCAACTGCATGCCGTATTTTTATATGAAAATAAGCTGAAAACACTCTAACTGAAAAACCTTTAGTGCTTTTTATTAGTATTAAGCCTCAAATGTCAAATATACATCGGATTGGTTTCTTCTTTAAATTCTAAAAAAAGAGTAAAAATTTGAATGGTATTATAATGTTATACTAAAACTAAAACAATGGAAAAACCCTTAAGATAACATGTATATCGTACATGATACATGTACATGATAACATATCTTAAGCGTGCAGAATAACATAAGTGGACTTTGAACGATTACGTAATTGTGGCATCCATAATTGTAATCGCGATTAGAAATTAGATTAATTGTGCAGCCCTACTTTAATCTCATAAATGCTACGACTTAGTTCTCATAATTTTGACTTTATTCTCAAAATACTACGACTTTAACCTCGTAATCTTAGTTTTTTATTTTATTTTACGTGCCACTACAACGTTGTCGGAACAAATTACTTGAATATCTACAGTAAAAATATATTTTTATTAAGACTATTTCCGTAATTGTTTCCCTTTTTTTTTTACTTTAAAATGAAAACAATAAATAAAATCTTACTATAAAAATGAGTTAAATGGTTAAAAAATAGTTTATTGTTCTTTTATTAAGGATCAATTTCCTTTTTCTCCTGTATCTTTAAAAATGATGCAAACATTTAGTTTTTGTTTGTTTTATGAAGGTTCTATTTCCTTTATTTTTCCTATTTATTCATCTGTTTTTTTTCTTAAAAAGTTATTTAAACATGTAAAAAGTATTTAAGGCTCCATTTCCATTATTTGAATTAAATTTCTTTTAATTGTCTTATTTCTTACATTAAAATACCATAAACATTTTTTAAAAGTTTCTCCGGATTTCAGTGTTTCACCGAAAACAATAAAAAAATATATCTTTTTCCTAAATACAATTCTGCAGTTTATTTAAGTGAAGGTCTGTTAGTACTAGTCAGTGTGTTTGTATCTCGTCTCTGAATCGTGTTTGCATCTGTAGAAGCTGAAGCTGGTCTTGATCAGGCATTTACTCCTGTCTCTCTCTGTAGCCTCTGTCCCAGTTTGCCATTCAGTTCCTGAATGCGGTCGGTGATCTGCTGGATCTGATCCCAGCGCTGGTTCCCGGCAGGACGTCCGGCTTTAAGCAGTATAAAGCTCCTCCGATGGGACACTGCTCTGCGCTCATAAAGGTACCAAACAACATCATGATATTTGACGTCAAGAGACAGCGGATGTGATGGTTTCTCTCATCTGCCGTGTGTTTCAGATGTTGCCCGGCTTTGAGAACCTGTTGTTCGCTCACTCCAGCTGGTACACATACGCCGCCACCATTCGCATCTACAAACACTGGGACTTCAGACTGAACGAGCCGCATACAGCCACCGGAAGACTCTCCTTCAGCAGCTACCCTGGTACACACACACGCATACATTCATTCACTTACTCTCTCACTCAGAAATTCATTGATTCATTCACTCGCTCATTCACTCACTTTCTCTCTCATTCGTTAATTCACTCACTCATTTATTCACTTACTAAATCATTCATTGATTCATTCATTCACTCACTCATTCACTCATTGAGTCATTAGTTTATTCATGCACTCATTAATTTGTTCATTCATTCATCCATTCGCTCCTTCACTAACTCACTCATTCTCTCACTCATTCATTCATTTACTCACTCACCTATTTGCTTATTCATTCACTCACTCACTCGCTCACTCATTAATTCATTCACTCATTATCTTGTTCACTCATTCACTCATTTGCTCATACATTCACTCATTAATTCGCTTATTAATTCACTCATTCACTTGCTCGCCCATTCATTGTCACTCACTCATTCTCTCACTCACTCAATTATTCACTCAGTCATTTATTCACTTGCTCAGTCATTCATTCACTCACTCACTCATTCACTCCCTCGCTCACTCACTCACTCATTCATTCACCCACTTGCTCGCTCAATTGTTACATTTCTCACTCAATTATTTACTCATTCATTCATTCATTCGCTTGCTCATTCATTTACTCACTCACTCATTCATTTGCTTACTCACAAATTCATTCACTCACTCATTCACTTGCTTATTCATTCACTCACTCACTCACTCATTCATTCGCTTCCTCGCTCGCTCATTCATTCATTTGCTTATTCATTCACTCATTAATTTGCTTGCTCACTCATTCATTCACTCACTCATTCATACACATTCATTTGCCTATTCATTCACTCTCTCGCTCACTCATTCGCTTGCTTGCTTGCTCATTCATTCATTTACTCACTCATTCTCTCACTTGCACGTTCATTCACTCACTCACTCATTCATTTGCTTATCAATTCACTCATTCGCTTGCTCGCTCATTCATTCAGTCACTCACCCACTCATTCTCTCACTCACTCAATTATTCACTCAGTCATTTATTCACTTGCTCGCTCGCTCATTCATTCAGTCACTCACTCATTCTCTCACTCACTCAATTATTCACTGTCATTTATTCACTTGCTCAGTCATTCATTCACTCACTCATTCACTCCCTCGCTCACTCACTCATTCATTCACCCACTTGCTCGCTCAATTGTTACATTTCTCACTCAATTATTTACTCATTCATTCATTCGCTTGCTCATTCATTCACTCACTCATTCATTTGCTTACTCACAAATTCATTCAGTCACTCATTCACTTGCTTATTCATTCACTCACTCACTCACTCATTCATTCGCTTGCTCGCTCGCTTATTCATTCATTCTTTTATTCATTAATTTGCTTATTCATTCACTCATTCATTTGCCTATTCATTCACTCACTCACTCACTCATTCACTTGCTTGCTTGCTCATTCATTCATTTACTCACTCATTCCCTCACTTGCACTTTCATTCATTCACTCGCTCACTCATTAATTTGCTTATTTATTCACTCACTCGATCACTCATTCATACATTCACTCATGCATTCTCTTTCTCACTCACTCATCCATTTGCTTATTAATTCACTCATTCGCTTGCTCATTCATTCACTCACTCACTCACTTGATCGCTCATTCATTCACTCGCTCACTCACTTGATAATTAATTAATTCACTCAATCATTCATTCATTCATTCACTCGCTCATTCATTCACACTTTCTCACTCAATTATTAATTTGCTCACTCATTCTTTCACTCACTCACACACTCATTCATTTATTTCTTCACTCATTCTTTCACTCACACACTCATTCATTCATTTCTTCACTCATTCATTCACACACTCACTTATTTCAATCTTTTTTTAGTTATTTATAATGTACTGCTTTTAAAGTAGTAGGGCAGTGTGCATTGTGTAGTTTTTAATATTGAATTCATGTATAATTTAATGTTTGTAAAGTAGCAGGCAGTTTGTAGTTTCTGCAGCATGTGAATGTGTGTTTAGGGTTTCTGGTGTCTCTGGATGATTTCTATCTGCTGGGCAGCAGTCTAATGATGACTCAGACCACCAATAACGTCTTCAACACCTCGCTGTACTCCTACATCACTCCTGCCAGCCTGTTCTCCTGGCAGAGGGTTCGACTGGCACACGCACTGGCAAACACTGGAGAGCAGTGGGCCAAAACCTTCTCCAGATACAACTCTGGTCAGAAATCAACATTCACTTATTTGCAGCTGCTGATCGGCTGATGTTTTGTTGTGTTTTTGGCTTTTGTGAGTGTTCGGTCTGGACTCTGTTTGCTCTGTCATGTGTGTTTCTGTGATCCTGTGCTGTATCTGTCACTCAGGGACGTATAATAACCAGTATATGGTTGTGGATGTGAGTAAAGTGCATCTGGGCAACAGTCTGGAGGATGGAGCGCTGACTGTAGTCGAGCAGATCCCGGGACTGGTGGAGTATTCAGACCAGACACAGGCGCTGCGCAGAGGTCAGACTGCAGTAGACTTCACTTTCATTTCATTTTGACTTTGGAGTGAAATGAAACCCGTAAATGTTGTACATCTGCTACTATAGTAAATGTTTGTGTCTACAGGTTACTGGCCATCCTACAATGTGCCATTCCACCGTAAGATCTATGATCTGAGTGGTTACAAGGAGATGTGGAAGGAGTACGGCGAGGATTTTTCCTACGACCTTTGCCCTCGTGCCAAGATCTTCCGCCGTGACCAGTCTTCCGTCAGTGACCTGAACTCCCTTAAACACATCATGAGATACAACGGTAAATAATAGTCACAACATTTACTAACTCCTGACGATGTCACTTATGGAATAGGACAGTATCGTTGATGTACTGTGCTAGTTTTTATTAATATTTTAAATTCATTTTTATGTTCGTTTTTTCCCTTTATTAATCTGAATTTTTTTAATATATAATTTTAATTTATTCATGTTAGTTTAACTTGAAGTACTAAAATAAATTAAAATGAGAACGATGCAAGCTTAAGTTTTAGTTTTAGGATTATCAATGTCTATATAGTGTTTGTACAGTTTTTATACATTTTTATTTTAGTTTTAGTTAATTTATGAGAAATGAGAAATGTTGCTTTGCAATTAGCAGAAATAAAATAAGTTCAAGTTATTTTATTTAAAGTAACTAAAACCATTTATTATGGTTTTAGGTTTGATTAATGGTAATAACCCTGGTCGTATCTACAAAAAAAAAAGAGAGATTACAATTAACCTAATACGTTTTAATTCTAGTACTTTGTTGTTCATTTTCGACAGTCAAAGTAAAATAATAAAATTAAAACATAATAGCTTATGTCAGTTTGATTGAATTTAATTGATTCCATAGAAATAAAAATATATATATTAAACGTTGGTTTTCGTTTTAGTTAACAATAATATCACTGGACATATCTACAAAAAAAAAATAATAATAAATAAATAATTAAATAAGCTAATATATTTTATTTCATTGTTCACTTGTATGGAAGCCCATTTCCGCCACTGAGAGAAAAAATGTGATTGCGACTTTTTATCTCACAATTTTGACATTTTTTCTTGCAATTGCGAGTTTTCATCTCGCAATTCTGACTTTTTTCTCAGAATTCTGGGATATAAACTCGCAATTCTGACTTTTCGCAGTTGCGAGTTTGTATCTCGCAATTCTGACTTTTTTTTTCTTCTCAGAATTGTGAGATATAAAGTTATAAAGTCCAGTTCTGAGGAGAAAAAAAGACTGATATGTTCATAAAGCCAGAATTGCCCATTTATATCTCGCACATTTGACTTCATTTCTCACAATTGCAAGTTTATATCTCACAATTCTGAGAAAAAAAAGTCAGAATTGTGAGATAAAAAGTCACCATTACCTTTTTTGTTGTTGTTGTTTATTCAGTGGCGGAAACAGGCTTCCATATACTTATGAAAAAATACTACAGGTAAAACATTATATATCCACAATTTTATAATTTTATTTCAATTAACATTTATTTTATTTCAAGTGACTATTTTACTGTTTTAGATTGAGTTAACGCTAATATCCCTGGCCATATCTAAAAAAAACATTGAAATGAAATAAGCTAATGTACTAAGTTATGGTTAACTTATGATGGTAAAATAAATAATTAATTATGTACTACAATTAAAACCTAATAGCTTATTTTAGTTTGTTTTGAAGTTTCCATCGGAATAAATAAAAATAAATAGCCAAAAAAAAAATAATATATATTTATATATATATATATATATATATTAGTTACTATATTTAAGTTTATTTAGCCTTTAAATATCACAAAGTGAAAGCCATTATTATATTATAATAAGGCACATGTTTGTGTCAATCTGTCCTCAGACTATAAGAGTGACCCATACTCGCAGGGCGACCCGTGTAAGTCCATCTGCTGTCGCAATGACCTGCAGGAGCATCAAGCCAGTCCCGATGGATGTTATGACACCAAGGTCAGCTGACCACCTCTCATTAATCAATCAGAGTGAGTCTTCAGCTTCTGACACTCTGGTGTTCTCTGTCAGGTAACAGATCTGCACATGGCTCAGGAGTTCGTGGCGGAGGCGGTGAATGGCCCGACCACAGACGGAGGGCTTCCCGTCTTCTCCTGGGAGGCGTTCAACAGCACGTCCCATCAGGGTCTTCCTCCGAAATACAACTTCAGCTTCGTCCTGATGCAGCCGCAGCTCTTCCGCCCCTGAGGATCATGGGATTTCACATCTGTTCTGCTTTTTGAACTGATTCTCTGTTCGCCGTCTGATGCTAAAATCTGTCGAATTGCTGTTTATTTTGAGCCATAAAATCAACACTAAACTCTACAGCTGCTATTTGACAATCAGTCCAGGACTGTTTACGTCTCTTTTGATTGATAGATTGAGTAAATCCTAATGTTTTAGGGAAAAAAACCCTACATGCATTGGTAAATCATAATTGACATAAATAATAATTGACACAAAAACTTGAAATTATGATATATGCAAGTCAAAATTACGATGTACTAGGTCAAAATTTACATACTAAGTCTAAGTGTATATATATATATATATATATATATATATATATATATACAGTGGTGTGCAAAAGTGTTGATTTCTTATTTTTTTGCATGTTTGTCACACTTTAATGTTTCAGATCATCAAACAAATTTTAATATTAGTAAAAGATAACACAAGTAAACACAACATGCAGTTTTTAAATGAAGGTTTTTATTATTAAGGGAAAACAAAATCTACTACATGGTCCTGTGTGAAGAAGTGTTGCCCCCCTGTTAAAACTGTGGTTTATCACACCCGAGTTCAATTTCTCTAGCTACACCCAGGCCTGATTACTGCCACACCTGTTCGCAATCAAGAAATCTCTTAAATAGGACCTGCCTGACAAAGTGAAGTAGACCAAAAGATCCTCAAAAGCTAGACATCATGCCGAGATCCAAAGAAATTCAGAAACAAATGAGAAAGAAAGTAATTGAGATCTATCAGTCTGGAAAAGGTTATAAAGCCATTTCTAAAGCTTTGGCACTCCAGCGAACCACAGTGAGAGCCATTATTCACAAATGGCAAAAACATGGAACAGTGGAGAACCTTCCCAGGAGTGGCCGGCCGACCAAAATTACACTGCATCTTGTGTTATCTTTTACTAATATTAAAATTTGTTTGATGATCTGAAACATTAAAGTGTGACAAACATGCAAAAAAATAAGAAATCAGGAAGGGGGCCAACCCTTTTTCACACCACTGTGTGTGTGTATATATATATATATATATGAAGAGGTTGGTTCCAAAACGCGAAAAACGCCATTTTAAAAAAAAAAATTTAGTTTCCACCAAAATCAGTATTGTATCTGGTCAGTATTGAAAAGTAAATTTTTAATTTTACGCAAAATGCGATATCCGCCGAGTTATTCTGTCATGTTTTCTCCCTTTATATATTTTGCACACTAAGTTGAAATTGACATGCTAAGTCATAATTATGAGGTAAAATGTCAAAATTATGAAACGCTAAGTCAAAATTATCATAATTATTACTGTCATCAAATGTAAAATGCTGAAATTTTGACATACAAAGTTGAAATTGACATACTAGGACGAAATTGACATACCAAGGTATTATGAGGTAAAATGTTGAAATTACAAAATACTGTTGAAATCGACATACTACGTCAAAATTGACAATTATAATTGAGTTAAAAGATCAAAACTATTAAACTAAGTCAAAACTCACACTAATTATGATGTAAAATGCTGAAATTATGACATATAGAGTTGAAATTGACATACTAGGTCAAAATTTACATACTAAGTCATAATTATGAAGTGAGGTTGAAATTATGCAATAAAAAGTTAAAATTACGTTATACAAAGTCAAATATGATAAAGTACGACATAAGTCATAATTTTGAGGTAAAAAGTTGAAATTATGACATACTAGATCAAAATTGACATGCTAACTCATAATTGTGAGGTAAAAAGTCAAAATTGTCATACTAGGTCAAAATTGACAAATATGACTTTTCTCATAAATATAACCGACTTTTTAACTTCATAAATATGACTGGCATCATTTTATTTTATTTTTTGAAACTTCACATCATAAATGTTACTTAGTATGTCACAATATTGACTTTTCATAATTATGATTTACCGAAGCATGACTTTTTTTTGTCTGAAATGGGTTTCCATATAGTACTGCAACACAGATGAACATGTTTAAAGGGAGGACGTCAATTAAATTGTCATTTTTTAAATCTAGTCAAAGATCCTAATGAACAACACAAGCAGAGAAACAGAGTTTGTGGATGTAAACGACTGGAATGTCTTGTTGACGTGTCTGCTGTCGCTGTGACTTTTCTTACATTTTCAGATCTCTTCTCTCAGGGACCGTGACTCAGAAGTGCCTTTGTTAGTATTTGAGTGTGTTTTATCTTCAGCTCTGAATGTCTGTGAGCATCGCTGTCAATCAGCATGTTTGTAATCTGTGCCACATGTGATTTTCTCTTAGATTCGACCAATGAATGAATGAACACAAGCCTCATTTATCAGTCTTGAGTGTTTTTGTTGGACACATGTTCACTAATTCAGTCAGTTATTCTGCACTTGTGCTCGACTGAAGCTTTTGATCATTTTTTTATTACAGTAATTTTTGAGGATATGAGGAGGATAGTTTTCTATCGGATAAAATATTTTAGAGCTCAACTTAACTTGAAAAATGTATGTTAATTTACAAGCCCAACCCCAGAGAAGTTGGGACATTTTGTAAAATGCAATAAAATCAAGAATCTGTGATTTGTTCATTCTCTTTCACTTTTATTTAATTGAGTAAAGTACAAAGAAAAGATTTCCAAAGTTTTCACTGACCAATGTAAATGTATTTTGTAAATATGAACAAATTTTGTTTTTGATGGCTGCAACACATTCCAAAAAATTTGGGACAGAGTTCAAATAAAAGTGAAAAGGTTATAGAATATCCACTTTAAACAGTTCACAGTAAGCAGGTAAATTAGTAATGGGTCAAGGTATCATGTTTGGGTATAAAAGGAGCATTTCAATCTTTGCAAGCAAAGCTGGATCATGGCTCATCACTTTGTGCCAAATTTCACGAGAGAAGTGTCAAACAAATCAAAAATCACATTTTGCAATGCAAAATTTCAAAGAAATTAGGTCTTTCACCAAGTACCATACATAATATTGTGAAAAGATTCAGGGAATCCAGAGAAATCACAGTACATGTAGGGCAAGGCAGGAAACCTCAGTTGAATGCCCTTGACCTTTGAGCCTTCAGATGGCATTGCATAAGAAACCGTAATGCTGCGGTGTTAAATATAGCCACATGGGCTCAGGAGTACTTCAGAAAACTGCTCTCACTTAACATAGTCTGCTGCTGCATCAAGAAATGCAACTTGAAACTCTGTTACTCTAGGAGAAAGCTATACATCAATTCTATGCAGCGATGCTGCCGGGTTCTCTGGGACACAACTCATCTCAGATAGACATGGAGGCATATATTGGGATTGTACAGAGATATATACTGCCATCAAGATGACGTCTTTCATGGGAAGTCCATGGCTATTAGATCAAGACAATGCCAGCTCTCATTCTGTATGTGCTACAACAGCGTGGTTTCATAGACACAGAATGAATGTGCTAGATTGGCCTGCCTGCAGTCCAGATCTGACTCCTGTTGAAAATGTATGACCAGTCATGAAAAGACAACAACAATCACAGACTGCTGAGCATCTGAAGTATTGTATCAAGCCAGATTGGACAAAAGTTTTACTTGCAGAACTTTAACGATTCGTTTTCTCAATTCCTAAACAATTAAACATTGTAATTAAAAGAACTGTTGATGTGACACAGTGTTAAACATGCCTCTGTACCAACTTTTTTGGAGTGTGTTGCAGGCATCAAAATCAAAATTAGTTCATATTTACAAAATACATTTACGTTGGTCAGTGAAAACTTTGGAAATCTTTTCTTTGTACTTTGTAAATTAAATCAAAGTTAAAGAGAATGAACAAATCACAGATTCTTGATTTTATTGCATTTGACAAAATTTCCCAACTTCTCTGGGGTTGGGGCTGTAAAATTTTACTTACTTCCATGAGTTTTTTCAGATTTTTGTTTTTGTGTTTAGAGATTGCATTTTTTTTCATGACTTTTCCAGGTCTAAAAATCACACTTCTAATATTCCCTCATAAACATCTTGATTTGGAAATAGGATGAACACCGACGCTGATGGCTGCCTCCGTGGCGTGCTCCGCAGTTGTTTTTATGTTTTTGTTAGTTTGTCCTGTCTTTAGTTATATCCCTGCAATCAGTTTCACCAGAGACGAATTGCTGGACATTCGGAAGTACACACCACCCGATATTTCACCGGTTTTCGATTATTCTGATATTTTGCTGGACATTGTAGTCGGGGGAGCTGCGGCGCTGATCAAGCACTTCAGAACGCGCAGACAGGGGAAGAGAGCCGGCACGCTCGTAAAGCTCAGGCAGCGCGGATTCAGAACGCAGTTGCCTAGCATCCATCTGGCGAACCTCCGCTCTCTACCCAACAAAACGGACAAACTCCTTCTGCTCTCCCGGACAAATAAGGATTTTTCAAACTCTGCTGCTCTGTGGCTGAAGGTTTAGGGGGCTGAAAATGGCTGAAAGACGCCATTCCGGACAGCGCGTTGAGTCTCCCAGATCGCGACGCAGAATCAACGGGGAAATCGCACGGCGGCGGGACATGCTTTTACATCAATGAGAGGTGGTGTACAGATGTAACGGATCACGGATCTTCATTAACTGTAAGCCGTTCCACTCGCCGCGGGAGTTGTATAGTATGGAAAGTATGTGTATGTATGGAAAGCCAAATGGTTCAGAATTTGCACGCTTTTCACCGCCGTATCGATATTAAAACGCCGTTTTCATAACGCCGCCAGGCGATAAGTTAACGGTAGACGCCACCACGCGTTAAAATAACGCCACACGCCGACCGACGTTATGTTAACGCCTCACGCCACTTAAGATGCAGATTTATTTGCTCATCTACATGGACACGCCTCTCATGACTACAAGGACTCTACGGCAAGTCGGAGCATCCAGTTTGCATTAGAGAGTGAAGATGGCAAGGAGAGAGTTTGTTTTGCAGTGTAAACACACTGAGAATGAGAGACAATTACTAATCATTCTCATTTTTTATTAAATCATTCTTTTATTTCACTAATCAATCTTTTTATTTTATTAAACACAAGGGGTCATTAATGATGCTTACATTATAGCATGTGCAAATTCACACACAAAATATCTATAATTTGGCCAAAATTGCAGGTGTCTTAATATCCAAGAAGGGTTATGATAGAGAAAATATGAAATAAATGTAATGTTATTATATATTACAAAGAGATGTATAATTAAATACATCCAAAATGTATATTTTAAATAAATATAATATATATTTATTTATTATTTTACCTTTTATTACCATTATACCCCCACCCCACCTGATTCCAAGCTA